TTTGAAATTTCTAAGTAGTTCTTTTTCATATCAGTTATGTACCTATCATGCAAGTGTAGCTAGTGGCATTTTACCTTTGACTATCCTTCAAAATCTATGAAATTTGTTAGGATGACCGAAAAAAAATTAATCAGACATCATATTGACGTAGACATCATTCGCGGGCAAATTTGGTCCCACAAAAGTGAAAATTTTAGCCGCAGTAGGATAAAGTTTGATCCAGTAATTGAAGTAGCACTGCGGCATTTTGTGCAAGCCGGTTAAACAGTTTACTGTTTTTCAGATTGAATTACGTGATTTATCAGTAACGAGCCAGAAAGTTTGGGAATATTTTCTTGATGAGAAAAAGAGCAATTGGCGCGTGGTGCGTCTGAGGCCTGCTGATGACACATCTCTGACTGGACAGTTTATGGTTGTTTCAGAACACGACAAGGTATTACTTTCATCTTATCGTTAATTTGTGGAAGGAATTGGTGTTCTGAGTTCCTGGAGATAAATTGATTGAAGGGGTAATTATTTGGACAGAATAACTCGAAATCATGAAGCCTAATTGGCGAAATATTTCTTGTGCGTATGAGATATTTTTTAAGATTTGCAGATTGTTTCAACTGTACCACCCTTTTTAGAACGATTGGATGTTGCTGTAGCGTTCAGAAAGCCGTATTTTTTCTAGTTATAGTTGGTTTCTAATTATATTATTTTTCGTTTGTTTTGATGTGTTTGCCATTAGCGGTAATGAAATATAGATGACTTCACAGCTTCCTGACAGTATTTTCTCCTTCATTCACCTGTACTGTTGTGATTATCATCGTAGGATACCAGCGGCATTAGGTTTTTAGTAGGGGAGGGAGTTATGCCGAAAGTGACACTAATGAACAGGCTAGTTTATTATTTTTATCACATCATATTGCAAATTTTATTTGTTTTTCCTTTTGAAATTTATTTTCTGTATAAATATGTATAAATTTATATTTCAGGACTGTTTTGGATTAGCTTATAAAGAAATCCGAGCTATTTTATACGAGGATCAGTTTTCGGACCCGAATACGCTAAAAATTAAATTCTACGTCATGCTTGTCTCACACGAAAAAAGTATTCTTTTTTCGCCGCCTTTTGTTTTAAAAATTTTACTTTATATGCTTTTTTTTTTAAAATTTCTACTTTTCATTATAAATTCCTACTCAAATTTTTATTGTGTACTTTTTATGCGTTTTGTGCTGAAAGCGCATATTGTCACGGGGTTGTCTGTGCGTGTATGTGTTTGTGTGTATGTGTCTGTGTGTTTGTGTGTGTGTCCCACATTTTGTCCCGCACTTTCAACTCGGGAACCACAAAAGC